TCCTTCGAGCGTTGTCCAAATCACGGCAAGGTAGACGATGAGGAAATCTAAATGCAAAATGTGGCCCAGCCATGTGCGGTAATATAGAGCAATTCTTTCAGAGATCCTGGAGATTGGTGAATGAATAAGAGGTCAAAGAATAAACGGTGAGATCACAGACGATGAGAGATTAGGGAGTCTAAGTGGGGTTCCTTGTGGTGTCAATAGTTAGTGCTGTGTACAGGCGTGTGCGGGCGATTTTGTGAGTGTTACCAATCCCGTAGACCAATAATTAAGCTCTTTTCGATTGACTAACGCGAATTAGATTGTCGTTGATAAACGGTGATTAAGTAATCAATCGCTCTTTAGATGACCTTGAGACCTGTTTTGGTATAATCGGTTTTTTAATAAGTTTTGTTTTTAAGTTACGCACCCAGTCGCACGAGTAAAGCCCCCACCGAAATGTTTGAATTATCTGCGCCCGCTTATGCACTTTTAGAAATCACTTTTTGGGAATCCAGATGGTAACAGAATGAAAAGAGGAAATAATAAATTTTCTCTAACCGTCGTTTATTTCAACGAAAATTTATCGAAGAGAATTCTTCCCACTCAAAAGGTGTTGAACTCGCCGTGGACTTTACACATTTGCTGTATTTTTGAACAGGTGCGATAGAAATCCCGCATTGGTACTTGTGTATGGCAGCTAGAAACTGTGGTGAATCAATGACTCACAGACTACCGTAAGCTGTAGTCATGTGACACTGATGGTAGTGACCATATCACACTCAATGATTTTGAAGGAACACAGTCATTCAAGTATGTGTCACCACAAACCATTATCAACCATGGCACGATAAAATAGCCTCACTGATATCAAGAGATCCGAAGCAGATTTTTTGTGGGTTCATCGTCAGCCCACGAAACATTGCCAGACGGCGGTATAGATCTCTATCACACTGCGAAATACCGGTGGGTAGCCGTTATCAGCCTACTCCTGTGTAACCAGTTTAATTTCTTTGTATTTGTCCGTTATTTGAGATGGTTCATCAGATTTATGTGATGGTAGAAGTGACAGGAAAAATAATGCGCTGCTGTTTGTTGCCTCAATCAATGAACTTCACTTAACAGTTTAAACTATGAATTGATCCGATAGCTCGTATGGTCCCCTCGCTTGGTGCATCCGCGTGTTCTGTGCGTTAAGCAATACTCGGATTTGATTCAAGCCCTCTGCTTTGTCGATGTCTTTTAAGTTGACTTGATTAGCTTCCCGCTCAAGCCATCCACATAGTTCATTCCCAGTTGTTTATTTGTCAACCTCATGGTGTCCAGCTTTTACAATCGCACTGGGAAACTATAAATTCTGGTAAAACGCGGGTAACTGTTCTGTCTTCTTTGATCTGTGTCCTACTGTAGTCCTACTGCTAGTTACCGTGTTCCCTGGCACCCTTCATCGGATACTGTACGTATAGTTGACCTCCAACGGAATATATTCACCTTAACAACATTCATCTTTTGGGTTCAATGCGTTTTCTTTTCTTTACTGATCCATCAAATCAATAACCGAACCGGATCATAAAGGTGCATAATCTGATTTTTGTATTTGTATTGGGAGAAATGGAGGAACCGGTCACTTGGCGATTTCTCCATATGGTTTGTCTTTTTTTCTGACTGTTCACTCGGATTCAACAACATTCGTTTTGTTTGTCCGTGCAGATGGGTCACGTGGCTAGCTTAACACAACAGTGTGACGTTCATGTACTTATTCCGGTTAGTATTAGATTGAAGGGGTCAGGCAGTGATGATGCCGCTCTGTCACCTGTAGCACCAAAAATATCATGAAACTGTTCAGTTTCACTCATCCCGGACGGATCAAGCCCAAACGGGAAGAGTTATCAACCCCGCACTAGGACTGCATTCACCATACTGTCTCAAAAGTGATCCGTTTCACGTTATAGCACTACTTGACATTGGGTCTGTGCATTTCGGTCGGTGAACTTTGACCCTCAACAGCTAAATAGCCCTCGACTCCTTGATGCCCATGAGTGCAGTGCAAGTGCCCACTCAATCAAATCAAACCATGCTTCTGTGGTCCACACCCTTGCCAGGTCTATGCTGGTAAAATGTTTTGTGTTTCACTACAATTCCGGCCCGAAAATGTTGGTTTCCGGTGTTCACTGTTGATCGCCAAATCCTCATGAATTAAGCTCCCGTTTTTTCTGTTGTTTATGAGGTGTACAATGAAAACTACTCGTCCTATACACTTTATCATCCAACACAAACCAGAGAGTGATGAGAAAAGAGATCGGGCGCACACACACACGGGGATAGTTTCGAAATCCTGATTTGCCAATGACCTTGCTCATAGTTGTTTGTTGATGAGTTCTAGACTTCATTGAGAACCCGGTTCGTTTGGAGCGAATTCGGTGGATCTACAGAATGCACATAGAGGCTTTTGTTTCTAACTTCGAACAGAGTACATTTTTGTCTACTAGCCGAAAAGCCTCAATTCTTTTTCTCGGTATTCGCTGATATGAAAAGGTTTCATTTGCGCATTTTTTCACAAACCAGTGAATGTAAATCAGTATCACTTCAGTCTGGATGTCATGTGTTTGTATTTTTCCGTCAAAGTACAATCTTTATCCGCTCAGCTTTTACTCCGACACCTTCTTAACAGTTTTTTGTGCCACTGGGTACACAATAAAAGATCAAAAAAGATAAGAACAATAAAAATTTTTCCAATTTTTTGTATATCCGGTTGTGTGCGTACATTCCAACGAAACTTTGTAAATTTTTTCGCGTATTTTGAATGGTTTCGTGTGCTAATGGTTGCATTTTTCCGATCAAGTTCATTCACCTGAGGCTCCATTTGGTCATCCATTCCAGCGCTGTTTTTATTCCTTGAATACTATATACGGAATGAAAAAGGTCTGATCAGCCACTCTGCGCTCATTTGGGTAGTATTCTAGCACTATCCAGGTTCAACCTTCAGGTGGGTCAGTGGATTTGCGCTGCTGCTGCTGCTGCTGATGATAATGTGCAACCCGATCGAAACAGTTGCACAGTGTTTTCCAGTTCATGTTTCATTTACTCTGTGTACGATAAAATCGATTATAATCCCCCGTTCGGTCTTGTCAACTGTTCTCTGGCATCTTGCCTGTTCTCAAACCTATGTGGATGGATGCATATTCAGCACAATATTCTTAGGGTTTGTTGTTGTTGTTGTTAATCATGTGGTTGTGTCGCTCGTCCTATTTGATTGTGTTCATGGCCGAGAGAACGAGGGGAAACCGTTTGTTCTCGTCGAGATTTATTCGATGCATAGATCGAATGTGTTTTTAGAGCCACAAAACGTCCAATCTGAGATAATCGATAATCGATCATTTTGCATTCTCGAATGCTGTATCTGAACGAGAAACGAGATCGAGAAGATCCTCTCAAGCGATCAGTAGTGGACTGAATTTTCAGCGGAGTTTTTCTTTCTATACCTTTTTCAGTTTTAGATGCCCCAATATGAATTTAAGATATTCGAGTGTCAATTTAAGATGTCATGCTGCCATGTGGATAGTACCTTGCACGGTACAGAGTGAAAACGTTCAATGGGGCCCCCTGTTTACCCAGATCCATGTGCGTCCTACCTGCATACTGATCTATGGCCCCCAAAAATTGCTCGTTGGCTTGGACAATTGAGAAATTTGATCAGTGTGTGAGAGACCCCACCAAACCCTAAAGCGCTTCTTTTTGTTTCGTATTCAA